AGAGAAAGAAAGAAAGAGAGAGAGAAAGAGAAAGTGAGAAAGCAAGCTGCCAGGTCCAGGACTCGAACTGTGGTCAGCCATGTGGGAATCCAGCACCCTTTATCCAAAACGCCACCTGCCAGCTCCAGTCTTATTTAAAATTATTTTATTTCATAGTATTCTTGAAGTGTTTAATAATCAGCATGTTATTTATGATATTGTGTAGGTTTTAAAATTATATTTAATGTGGGTATGTCCATTATATGAAATGAACATAGTATAATTCAAAAATAAAAGTATAAAATAGCAATATTTGAAAAGAGCATAAAATTATTTTTATTTGTTGATATGATGATGTATTGGGGAAAAATAGGGCATTCAACTTATAGACTATTAGAACTATGAAGGGATTTCAGTATATTTAAAATCAAGTTTGAGCTCTGTCATTTAGTTACTGTGAAACCTAAAAAGTACCAGAGCTCTTTAAGACACAGTTTCTATATATAAAAAATGGGTCATGCAGGGAGCAAAATTAAGTAATAAAGTGATTATCTGCAGTGTCGTGCAATGAGCATTCAACAGATATTGCCTATTATTATCATGTGTAAAAATAATCAGAAAAAGATAGATTAAAATGTAGTACAAAACAGTGCTATCCAAACTATCAGTGAACAGATTTATGCATACGATGTTAATAAGAATTAGGCAAGATTTTCAATTTCACTGGTGAGTTACAAAATAAAAAATTAATATATGCACAGACATACTGAGATTTTAGAAAGGTAAAATGTTGGAAAGACATATCTCCTTCTGAATTGATCTAAAATTAACCTAAAATTATAAAATTATAACAGTCTTGGGACCAGCAGTTAGTGTAATGGCTATGTCGCTGGACTCCCACGTAGTCAACCACGGTTCGGGTCCCGGACCCGGTGGCTTTAAAAACGCTGGGCACGTGTGCATGCGTGCCCAAGATCCTGAGAGGAGAATGGAGGAGAAGGGATTGCAGCGTGGCCAACCCCCCTGGGGGGTGATTTCTCACTTTCTGTCTCTCTGTCTCTCTCTGTCAGTCTGGCGAGTGCACGCACCCTATAGCGAAAAACCTCTTTCTCTCTCTCTCTCTCTATATATATATATAACAGTCTTTAAAAAACAAAACTAATCGAGGGTCAGCAAGTGGCATAGGGTTAAGGACGCTGGACTCCCACATAGCCAATCACAGTTCAAGTCCAGGACCTGGTGGCTTGCTTTCTTTCTCTTTCTTACTATGTCTGTCTCTGGTCAAATTTAAATAAATAATAAAAAATTAATAAAAAATATTCTAAAAAAATTAACAGTTGCTTTAATCAAACACAAAACTACGCTAAATTTTTTCTAAAATAAGCAGAAAAATAAGTTAGGAAAATGTTGAAAAAGATAGCAACGAAGAGATGCTTGCTCTGTCATATCAAGGACTCTGAATGAGTGTAGTAATGATGCTGGAATAAACAGGTCAGTAAAACTGGATAGAAACTTTACACAGGCACAGAAAACCATGTGAGAATTAGTAGATTATTATGGCAGGGCTATATATTGGCAGCAGTATATACCTTTTTCTAAAAAAAAAAATTTTATTTGACCAAAGAGGGACAGAGGAAGAAAGAGAAAGTGAGAAAGCAAGCTGCCAGGTCTAGGACTCAAACCTCCATCGGGCATGTGGGAGTCCAGCACTCTTAACTACCATACCACCTGCCGGTCCAGCAGAGTATATATCTTGTATTATTCAAGAAATGTCATTGTGGAGGCCAGTAGGTGGTATGATGGTTAAAGCGCTAGACTCCACATGGCCAACCACGGTTTGAGTCCTGTATGTGGCAGTTTAAAAATCACACCAGGTGCTTGTGTGTGTGTGTGTCCCCCAAATCCCAGGAGAATGGAGGAGAATGTATTGTGGTGTGGCCATCCCCCTTGGGGGGTGGGGGTGGGGGTGATTACTCTCTTTCTTTTTCTGTCTCTTTCTGGTAAGCTCATGTGCCCTATGGCAAAAACCTAAAAAACAAAGTAAAACAAAACAAGCAAAAGAAATGGCATTGGGACAGCTGTGCAATTATTTCTGGGGAATAGTTAGATCAATATTTGGTATCTTACCAAACATATTTCAAGCATTCTAAAGATTAAAATAACATACTGTACCTCTTTCACTTTGAAAACCTAATGTGTAGGACATAAAATTTTCAGAAATTCAAAAAAGGGAGACCAGCAGATGGTGTAATGGTTACATCGCTGGATTCCCTCATAGTGGACTGCAGTTTCAGTTCCAGACCCGGTGGCTTAAAACTCACATGGGGTGCATGTGCATGCTTGCTTAAAATTCTAAGAGGAGAATGGAGAACAGATTGTGGCATGGCCATCCCCCGGGAGGTGATTTCTGTCTTCTTGTCTCTCTGTGCTTCTCTGTCTCTCCAGTGAGTACATGTGCCCTATAGCAAAAATATCTTTAAAAAAATCAAACAAGGAAAAGGAGGATATGTGTATGTGTATGTGTGTCTATGAATGATACTGAATTCTACTATGTGGAGATGGATTATGACCATTCACATTTTGTTGTTTACTTAGTTTGAATGTAAAAAAATCCAGTTTTATGAAGTCCCAAAGAGCATTGCAGAAAGAGAGCTGTATGTGCAGTGGTCCAAAGGTGGATGGTCTTGTGTTTAAGGAACTAAATACAAGTAACTATAAATGGTTGGAGTGGAGAGGAAAGTGGTGAGATATGCGATTGTGCAGGTAATAGGGGGCTAAGTCATGTAGAGACTTGTTAAAGTCTAAAATTTTATTCTAAATGCAGTAAAGTTCCTTAAAAGACTTTTAGCAGAAGAGGGTGTATAAATAAATTTTCAAAAAGTTCATGGAAAAATAGAATTAAAGTAGCAGTTTATTTTGGTGCCAAAATTTTTGAAATTTATATAATTTTCATTATATGCATTTTCCATGTACTTTTGAAGACCCCCGTCATATTTAGCATTTATTGTTATAGTTGCCGATAGTATTTTAATAATTAGCTACAGCTGTTAAATATTTTTTTAGTGAGATTTTTGCTATAGGTTGTGTGCACTTGTTGGAGAGATGAAGAGAGACAGAGAGACAGAAAGCAAGAAATCACCCCCCAGGGGGGATGGCCACTCCACAATCCCTTCTCCTCCATTCTCCTTTTGGGATTTTGGGCACACACACAAATGTTCCCAGCATGTTCCAAGCCACTGGGTCCAGGACTTGAATAGTGATCAACCACGTAGGAGTCCAGCAATGTAACGATTATGTCATCTGCTGGTCCCCAGCTGTTTAATTTTTAATCAAATGATTCTCCAGTGCCTATCACCATTAATAGCTTGCCTAATATTGAACCATGCTTGCATACTGAAATTGATTTACTCTTATTTTATTTAGGCTTCTGCAGTTATTTTTATAAATGAGGCTGGTGTACAGTTTCTTTTTGTAGTCATTTATTACCTTTTAGTATGATTTGGCTTATATTATCATCCATATTATTCCTGTTGTCAATTTCTAACATTTGGAATTTGTTGAAATATTTTTCAATAGTTTAAGATGTAAGTTTAAAAGAAATGTCATGGGGGACCAGCAGATGGTGTAATGGCTGCATCTTTGGATTCCCATGTAGTCGACTGCAGTTTGAGTCCCGGACCCGGTGGCTTAAACTCACGCCAGGCGCATGTGTATGTGTGTCTAAGATCTCAAAAAAGAAGAATGGAGGAGAAGGGATTATGGCATGGCCATCCCCTCAGGAGGTGATTTCTTGCTTTCTGTCTCTCTGTCTCTCTTTGTCTTTCTGGTGAGCACATGTGCCCTATAGCAAAACAAAACAACAAACCCAAAAAGAACAAACCTCTGAAACAAACCTCTAAAACAAACCTCTCCCCCCAAAAAAGAGAAATGCCATGAAATATTTTCCTCCAAAAACTATTTTTAAATTTTTTTTTTTACTGAATTGCAATCTATTGATTATAAACAAAAAATTATGGTGTGAATAAGTCAAGCAATACTGAAAAATATAAATCAAGAGTAAAATTAATTAAAAATTGCTCAAATTCTCTTTGAGCAACCACTTTAAATTTTTTCTTTTTTGGAGAGGTTTTTGCTATAGGGCAAAAAAACTTACAATTTTTCTGGTAACCACCAGCAGGTGGCATGGTGGTTAAGGTGCTGAACTCCCACATGGCTGACTGTGGTTTGAGTCCTGGACACGGTAGGTTGAAAATCACACTGGGCACATGTGTGTGCATACCCAAAATCATGAGAGGAGAATGGATTGCAGTGTGGCCATCGTCCCTGGAGAGTGATTTCTCATTTTTCCTCTCATTGTCTTTCTCTGGGTGAGTACATATGTCTTATGTCAAAAACCTAAAAAAAAAAAAATAAATAAAATAAAAAAAATTACCATTTCTCTTCAGTAGTATTTGTTCTTCACTGGTTTATCTGAATTAGGCTGTCTTTTCCAGTGTAAACATTATGTCTCCTTTTATTTTTGGGGACTTTTCTTTCATTCTTTCTCATTTTGCAGAATTAATACTGTAACTATAGTGAGTATGTAATTAGTATTGCATTTTGGTGACTCTACCCCATCTATCCTACAGGAGCCATTAGTAAATCATAACC